AAAAATCTAATGTCTGAGGGACAAATGTTAAATTATGAAGAGATATTGAATCACCTTGCTAAATACGATGAATTGATAGAAGTACGTGAAGAGGGTGCTGAAATTAAAGAATACTTGGATTCTTTAACCGAAGATCAAAGGTATTGTATTATTTAAATATCTGCTTTTTGGTTTTACCTACGATCTTTTTTTTAAATATATAATTTCAATAATTATTAATAATGTTATAGGCAAGAATTGTATCCAACTGTCGATGAATTCTTACGGAGATTACAATCAGAAAAGAAAGTAGAAGGCCAAGATATCGAAATGGAAGATGTAATTGCAAACAAAAAAGACGATAATCAATTGAAAGAATTAAAAACTGAGGTATTCATTTTATAATCTACCATTTAACTTAATGTATTTCAAGTTTTTAAAGCTTTAAATCTTTTAATCATTTAGTCAAATGAAAAAATTGAAGAAAGGCCAGGTTTTGAAGGTCGTCATTTACCAAAATTGATACAAATGCTTGAACGTGGAACTACTGATAAACTTCCAAAGACATTCAAGCGTAAATTAGGAAAAAGACAGATAAATCCTAGGGTTAATAGTAAAATCAGAAAATATGTAGCAACTCATGGTTTTCAACCATCTCCTATGCTTGACGAAGATGATGAATGACGTTTGTAAGTTTGTTTGTTTGGTGTAAATTTGTTGGATATCTTCTTTATCTTAAAATCTGAATTCTAAAAAATACTATTTCAATGAATGTTGGGTTCGTAAGATGGTTAGATGGTGTATGATTAACTTTATGTTTTTTTTTATAGCTTATTCTTTGATATATTTACGTGGTTGTTTATTTTGAAACACTTTTAATTGCTATTTCTTTTGCTTAAGATATTCGCAACAAAAATAATTTAATCTATATCTTTCTATTCAATAAATTTAATAAATATTTTATTTTATAAATATGTTCTATGAATATATTTGAGTTCTGCTTTCTCTAATTAAATACTTTCAAAATACTTTTGATATCAATATTTAACTCATCTTGATACTAGAAAAAAATCGAGTATAAATTTTGTTTCAAAACAAATTATTATGTAATTTGCAGAATATTTGTTATATTTAGGTAGTAATGTCTTGGTTTTTTGAACTGCACGACTATCATTATTGAGCAGGGATGTTATCCTGCTTAAATTGGTTAGTTCGTGATTTGAAACCCGAACTAACACTGTTAGGAAACAGAAACAAATACTGAGTTTTAAACTTTAAACTTGTTTGTATACATGTACTATAAATTATGCTTCCTGAACATGTTAGTTGAACTCGTGTTTATTATAAAAATAAATTAATTTATGTAGCTATAGAACTATTAATATTGCATTTATTACATGTATTATTATTACTTTATTTATTTATTTATTAATCATCAATAACACCTGCTTCAAACCATGTCTTTTTACAAAGACTAGCGGAAATATTTTCTTCGGACAGCCGATTACGTAGCGGGTTAATTGTATTTTTGGCCTGCGAGAACATTTGCTCGCTAGGCACACTTGTGGCCTGTACAACTAAATAGTCTCGTGCCATTTGAGCAAGCCGGGCATTACGTTTATCGTTTGATCGTGTTTTCCAGAAATCGAGAGGGTTACGATTTTCTTTGGTAGCTGAAAGATATTCTTCAAGAGGATTATTCTTTATCTTTTTCATTACAATGCTTCTGAAAATAATTTCTTGGAGAATCATCTTCATAAATAGTTGAAGAACCAACTTTTTTGCTTACATATTGTGCATAAATACCATGCAACATCTCATGTATGACTATTGCCATCTCGTTATCAAACGATATCAATCTTATGCTTGGTCTAATACGATAGACATACAACAACTTTGAAGGACTGCCCAATAATCATCAAGCTTCTTATACATTCATTGCGCAATTTGATTCATTATTTGAATTTCACTATTTAGTGTGTTATGTAATTTATTTAAAATAGTTAGAAATATCATGTGAAAATCTTACATTGCTGGATTTGCTGATGAAGACAAGATTGTTGTTGCTTTAGCCATAGGCTCAAGCAATATAATGATTACCTAAAATAAATAATAATAATTTTTTTTAAAAAAAAAAATAAAAAATAAAAATTTAAATACTAACTTTCAATTTCATTCTATTCAGCTAGTAATTCAAATTGTTAGTTGAAAAATTAACTAGATAATAACTTTTCAACTAATCAATTTAAAAATTCTTAAAATAACTAATTGATTAAATAATAACTATAATAATTGCAATTATTTGTTAGTTGTTAACTAGTTAATAACTAACTAACTAAACAATTAATTATAATAACCATATTATATAATATGTAACTAGTAATAGAACTTTATAATTTTTTAATTTTAATTAATTTATAACTAATAAGGATTTAGAAAATATTTAAAATAATATAATTAGCTAAAGCTAAATTATTATATATTTTTAAATTTTTTTAAAAAAAGCTTCAAATTTAAATAATTCAAGTAATTTTATAAAATTATAATTTTACTAAAGCTAAGTTACTATTTCTAAATTTAAATAATTCTTATAAAATTTATTAAATTATTATATTTAAATAATATGATAAAAAATTTCAAATTTGAATCAAAGAACTACTTATTTGATTATTTCTATAAAGATTTAAATATTTTATTTATTAACAAATTTATAAAAATTTCTATACTACAGTATATATATATAACTAGTAAATCTTAATATATATTAGTCAAATTAGTAAAGTTTATATAATATATATATTACTATTTATAGTAATTTATAGTTAAAATTACTAATAAGTTAATAAATAAAATTAATTAAAAAAAGAAAAAAAGTCTCTTTTTATTATTATAAAATAAGTGTATAATTTTTTAAAAAAAAAAAGTTAATAAAAAAATTAAAATAATAAAAAAAATAAATTAAATTTTAACTATTATTACAGATAGTATAGCTTTCTTAATATATTATAAGTAATAGTAATATAGCTATCTAATTACTTTAAGAAGTAGTATCTAAAAAGAAAATCTTTTTAACTAATTGTAAAAACAAGTTCTACTTTACAAGAGGTAGTTCGTTTAGATTTATTAATAACAAATATATTTATTAAATATAAATATTTAGAATCAACGACATAACTCTTCCCGACGATCATCTGTACCATTTTTTTCGCAAAAACTGAACTGTAAATTTATAGTTAATATAGCAAGAGTAATTACAAAACTTCTCTAT